ACCCTCCCGCACCAAACCAATCCACTCCCCGCGCTTCCCGTTCACCAACTTACATACCCCGTTATAAGCTGAAACAACTTCGAGAATCAACAGATAGGGGATTTCCAATGGGTGCAGAGAGGTGGAGGTGTGGAAAAGTCGGTGAGCCTTGACTTGATCAAGATTCAGGTGGCAGCTGGGTGAGGAGGGACCGTTGATTCGATTTGCAGCCAAGGTTGGTTTGGCTTGGGTTCTCAGCTCAACATGTCGGTCAGGCCAGCGAAAGCAGGTTACCATCTCATGCGAACAGCACTAGAGTCGGGGCGTACACGTCCGCCTGGTCGTCCGCGATCGTCTGTCTGGTCGTCCGCCGGGTCCTCCCATCCCATACCGGTCCATCGGCATGTTCATCCCAAAGTTGCAATCTCAGCCGGTACACGTGAGTACTGCTCGGGTTTTAGCGGATTCAGAATAGCAAATTGTAAAACTTACACATCACTACCGGTAATTGTGTTGGATCTAAACACACCATCAGATTTTTTTGTTTTGTTTTGTTTTGTTTGTTTGTGTTTCTTTTTTTACCAGGCTCTGGCTTAAAGATGTGAATCCCTTGAATATAATTCATAGAATAATAACATGTACAATGTTCCACCAACAGCCATAGCAGCATGTTCAAGGGCAGCTGCACCTAGGGTAGTCCCATCGGCCCACATGCATTATGAGGCACCTCAGCAGTGTGACACTCTCAGCATCTCAACAGCTTGGCAGCAGCAACCCCAGCAGCAGGTTGACAGGTAGCTGCACCCACATATCCACTAGCCACAGGTGGCAATAATGCAGGCCGTTTATCGCCCACCACCGCACATGCTTTTTGAGGCGCCTCAGCAGTGTGACACCCTCAGCATGTCAGCTGGTGCGCAGCAGCAGCCCCAGCAGCATGTTAAAGAGCAGCTGCACCCACATATTGACACTCCCCATCTCATCAGCTATATATCAGCAACTAGCAGCCCCAGAAGCATGTTGAAGAGCAGCTGCACCCACGTCTACAGGCCTCGGATAGCAGCAGTGTGGGCACTGGGCAGTCAGTCTCACATTTCATCCGTCGGGCACGAGCAGTCCAAGCAACATGTTGAAGAGCAGCTGCACCCACGTATCAACAGGGCCCGGGTGGCAGTAGTGCAGGCAGTCCCTTTGACTCACATGCCCATCAGCTCGCCACACTGCCGACGCATTCACATCCATGTACACCCCTCCCATGCCCTCCGTCAGACTCTTTAGAATCCCATTCTGCCCCGCAAACTTTTCCCAATTCCAGCATTTGCCCTCCGGAAGGTCTAGAAGCTTCTCAGAAAGCGGCTTCTCGTGCGTCCAGCAGTTGGGATGGCCGGGCGGGGTGTTTCGGACAATCATGAGCATCTCAGGGTGGGCGTTCCGGATGGCCAGCAGAGTAGAGTGCATTTGCGGCACAAACATGTGGTCGGGTCTGTAATGAGCCCCTCGGTTCATGACTATAATGGATATATTCATTCGTCCAAGCTCATCTATCCAAGACTCTCCGAAGCTCTTATCCGCCAGGAAATCGTTCACTTCTGAAGTGGAGTTGAGGTAATAATCCCGGACGTACGAAATCCGGACGGAAAAGCCGAGGTCGGCACAGGCGTGAACTGTCCAGCAGGAATGATCTGGATGCCGTGCTTCCTCTGTTGCATTTCGGTACCGCTGGCAGTAGCCTGTCGGATCTTGCCACTGGACCCGAGAGTCCTGGTCCTTGGCGCCTACTCTCACGTTGTACCGGATGGCATCGGCTACAAGCATGCTTATTGAGTCACCCACTACAAGCACGCTTCTCTTATCTAGAAGTTTGCAGAAATTTTCCGGGGAGAACCGTTCCCAAGGCCCGCCGCATCTGCTGCTGCTGCTGTTGCTGCTGCTCCTGTGAGCTTCTAATGTTTCCCCAACCTGCCCCTCTGCATCACTCTCTGGAACCACCCAGCGATACTTAAGAGTCTCTCTTACAGCCCACTGACGTCTAAGAATATCATCCCAACTCTCCAGCTTTTTCAACTTGTCGATCTGCTGCCGAGGAATCTTCTTTCCTCTGTCAATCTCCCCACTAATCTCCTCTATTTGACTCACAACCTTCTTGAACCGCCCCACCAAATGATCCGCGTTTTGAAACGCCAAGTTGCGGGAGTTGTTATTCACATGGCGCAAGTCGCATGCGCTCATCCTGTGCGGCCATGGCAGCAGCCGCGGCGAGTCGTCGTACCACCACTTGCCCTCCCGCCCTATGCAATCAAATTTCTCCCGAAATAGGCGGATCTTATCTGGGGAATCGAGCACGGAGCCTGGGATTCGGGTCCAGAGGCTTGGTGCAGGCTCGGAGAGAGGAGGGTTGGAGGCAGTTTCGGTAGGAGGTTTGGTAGAAGGTTCGGTAGGAGGTTCGGAAGGAGGTTCGGGGGGATTTTCGGTAGGAGGTTGGTTAGGAGGTTCGGTAGGAGGTTTTGCCGGAGACTCGGTAGGTGGTCTGGTAGGAGGTTCAGCAGGATGTTTGGTGGTAGGGTCAGTAAGAGTGTCAGAACTAGGACTGAGAGGAGGGTCGGTAGAATGATTGGTTGGAGGGCTGGTGGGAGAAGTGGAAGGAGATTTGGTGGGAGGTTCGGTAGGAGGATTGGTTGGAGGTTTGGTGGGAGGGTTGGTGGGAAGTTTGGTGGGAGATTTGGAAGAAGGTTTGGTAGGAGGTTCGGACGGAGGATCAGATGGAGGATTGGTGGGAGGGGGAGATACGGATGGAGTGACGCCTGATTCTTCTGAAGAAGATTGTTTTGGCGCCTCAATCAACCGTGACGATGACATATTAGGAGGTTTGGTATGAGGGTCGTTACTAGGAAGGATAGTTGAAAGACTGGTGGGTGGAGGACTGGTGGGAGGGGGGGATCCTGTGCTAGCATCATGGGAGGAAGGCGAAGTCTGTGTGGATGGGTTGGCGACGCTTGATTCTTCTGAGGATGATGATATGTTAGGCGCCTGAGTCAATGGTGACGATGATACGTTAGGCGCCTGAATCAACGGTGACGATGATATGTTAGGCGTCTGAATCAACGTTGACGATGATATGTTAGGCGCCTGAATCAACGGTGACGATGATCTGTTAGGCGCGTCCGGAACTGCTGAGTCTGAGGTAGTGAGGTCTGATGAGAATGCTGTCACAGCAACGCCGGTTGTGCCGCTCACAGGCGAAGGGTCTGCCGGAACTGGAACGCGAGGAGAATCGCTCACAGGCGAAGAATATGCTGGGACTGGATTCACTGGAACGCGAGGCGATTCGCTCACAGGCAAAGAATATGCTGGAACTGAATCCACGGAAACGTTAGGCGAATTGCTCACAGGCGAAGGGTCTGCTGGGAGTGGAAGGGACGCGGCGGACTCGGCGAATTTGGAGGCAATATTTCGAGTCGGGAGAAAGGAGATGCAGTATGTGTACAGTCCAATGAGAGCGAACGCGAGAGCGACAGAAATTGCCGTGCGGGCGTGAACCGTCGAGACTTTCTCGGCTTGCCATTTTTTAGGGTTTGTCGTCACCACGGTCCGTTCAGGTCCTAGAGTCATAGCGGCGCGTTGTTGGCGTATTCAAAAGCCGTCGTTGCACCGTCACTCCGTCGAGACACATGCGAGCTACCATCAGCGAAGGTAGACTAAACGACATGCAACTCCAGATAGCTTACGATGACTCGATGACCTGCTCGGTTCATAACTTTGCTACATGTCGTATGAAAGGCGCAACGGGGAGCATCGTGGTATAATGACATCGCAAAGCAGGGAGCGACGCGTGGGTAGGGGAATATATTCCGAGCACGTGATTTACAAGGTGATTTCGGCAGAACTAAGAAGCTAGAGTGCAGCAGAAAAGGCTCGAGTTGAGAGGGAAGAAAAACGACGAGATGGAATTGCCGACGTCTGAGATGTTTCCCCACCTGATAACCATCAGTTCCCTAGGAACTGCCGACCAAGACCCTCCAGTCCGGAGTAGACGTAGTTATCAGGTAAGGAAATATCTCTGACCACTGTGTAGCGCACACAAAACCGTCGGAAACAACTCAAACCGTCTACCACCCATTTGGTTCTCCCGAATATTGACTGTCACTGAGGTTCCGTTTCGGGGTAACTGCTGAGTGGCATTTGACAAAATTCGTTTTGAAATTCCAGTCATTTTCTCAATGGAGGCGGAAATGGACAAACCGGGGGAGTGTTTCAGGAGTCAGGACTCAGGAGGGCGTGACGCGGAACGCCTCGGCGTTCCGGTGCGTGCTGGGGCGTGCCAGTGTGTGACCGAAGCCGTGGTGATTCGTGGTACCAATTGTTTTTGAACGGTGGAAACCGCAAAGCGCCTTGAATTGACACTGATTCCTAGCGGAGAATAATTCTCCACTGAATGCGGTCAAGGGCTCAAACCGTCTTATACCCATTTGTTTTCTCGAATATCTCGGGCTAGCAATGGTCTCGGTTTCAGAGACGTGTGGGTGGCATTTGACGAACGTCGGCTATCTCGAATTTCCAGTCATTTTTTGACGGCTTGATGACGAAAATGGATGCTGAAACCTCGTTCCGGTAAGAATTAATGTACAGAGTACGTGTGCGAGATTTTGTAGCCAAGTCGTACTCCCTAAATCTGCTGACACCAAATGCTTTCAGGCAGGTGTGCTGTATGATATTATACAGAAAACAAAACGGAATCCTCAATGCCTTGTCAACCCAGACCGAAGTCGGGAAAAGCTTCGCACGATTGAAATCTGCGAATACTCACCACTTTGTTGAACGAGACCTGCTTCTTCAGTCTGCCGCTCCCTCCCAACCCACCACTCCCACTCCCACTCCCACCACCATCCGCCACTGACAAACACGACTTCACAGGGCTCTTGGGAGGAAAGGAACTTTCTGTTTCTGCCGACTCACTTCCCTCAGCCAGAATAACTCCCGACCTGACAGGGCTCTTTAGCTGCGGCACAAGAGGCCTCCTGCTGTCAATACCTCCAGAGCTCCTTACCTGTATAGCAGACTGCGTGTTTTCCAGTGGGAATAACAGCCTACCAGGACTCCTGGTATGTGTGCCTTCTAAGGGGATGCAGTCATCACTCTGCGACCTTGCAAAGTGCCGCGTGTGCGGGTCAATACTTATCAAGTGGTGTGCATTTTGGTGCACCTTTTTCCACTCCTGTGCACCTCCCCCCACTCCTGGAATGTCAATAGAGTAGGAGGCCCTGATGGATGAAGAGGGGGAGACTCGGATGGAGGAGGAGGAGGGGGAAAGCTTTGGGGAACGAGGGGGGAAGCGGGGGGGCTTGGATGGGGAGACGGACGGGGGATTGGGGGAGGAGATGGGGAGGGTGGGGCAGGGGAAAGTGGGGGAAAGGCAGGGGGAGGAGGGGGACTGGGAGGACGAGGTTACAGAGTCTGGTAAATCTGGGTGTATGGTAAGGGGAGGGGGGCGGGGGAAAATGGATGGGGAAGGCCTGTGGTGTTGGCGAGGTGGTGTTGTGCTGCTGCCACTGGACGGTTTCGGAGCGTTCCTGGGTGGTTGCTTTCCCCAACCCGTTCCCCTTTGAGACGCCTCAAAACTACAAGACCTGTGGTGTTGGCCAGTTGGTGTTGCGCTGCCAGGGGACGGTTTTGGAGCGTCCCTAGGCTTGTTTCCCTGAGGTGATTGCTCCCCCCCGATTAGTCCCCCCCCAAACGGCTTCCCCACGCGAACTCCCCTTGCTGCAGCGCCCTTTTCTGATGCGGAAACGCCTCTTGCTGCGCCTTCCAGCTGCACTGGCCACGCCGTCACAACCCCCGCGTCCTTGAGATTATCGTCGCCATTATTGTAACTGTAACCGCCGGGCGCCGTCACGACTCCGTCATGCTTACCGTTGTACTCGTCATAGTCGTCATCGATATGATGGTTGTCGTCTTCATCATAACTGTAACCGTTGCTGACAAGGTTATCGGCAGAGTCGCGGGCATTTTTGGGGCGGAACGAGCCGGAACGACTTTCGGGGGAAGGGGATGTGGCGGAGAAAGCGCGAGGGCCGCCGCGATCTACGGTGGAAGGGGATGTGGCGGAGCCGCGCTCTACGACGGAGCGTGCTCTACGGACGGCGCGGTTGCTCCGAGGCGCGTTACAAGCATAAGGGTGTCTACTAGAGCTTGGCGCTTCGAGCGCTTCGAAAATCTCGAATCCTTGGGAACTCTCGAGGTTCCCGAGATTCTCGAAAGCCATAAAGTCGCGTTCTGTCGCAGACGCGGCTCTGCGGCTGGCGCGACGATCGTGCGAAGGCGGCGGACCGAGGGCGCGATGGCGAGGAGACGAGGTGACGAGGAGGCGAGCGAGTCGCGGTGAGGAGATGAGGTGGCGGCTCGGTCGAGAGCGCGGGGATGGCGCGTGACGAGGTGATCGGGGCGACGCGGGCAGATGGACCGAATGGGGCGCATGAGGCTGTCGTTGAGATGCTGGTGCTGTTGCTGCTTCGCCACCCGCCCCTTCGAATGTTGAAAGCTCCTTTCCTCCTCCTCCTCCTCCCCCTCCTCCTTCTCCTCCCCCTCCCCCTCCCCCTCCCCCTTCCCTTTGAATGTTTTTTGTGCTTCCGCTGGTGCCCTTGGTGCTGTCGCCAGCGCCGCTTCTCTCATCCAAGTGCGACGTCGACCGCGACCGGCGGAAGCGGAAATGGTCGGCGGAAGCCCCGCGCACAGGCGGACGAACACCTGTGGCGGAACCCGGTCGAACACCTGTGGCGGAACCCGGTCGAACACCTGTGGCGGAACCCGGTCGAGCACCTGTTGCTGCTTCGCCACCCGCCCCTTCGAATGTTGAAAGCTCCTTTCCTCCTCCTCCTCCTCCCCCTCCTCCTTCTCCTCCCCCTCCCCCTCCCCCTCCCCCTCCCCCTCCCCCTCCCCCTCCCCCTCCCCCTCCCCCTCCCCCTTCCCTTTGAATGTTTTTTGTGCTTCCGCTGGTGCCCTTGGTGCTGTCGCCAGCGCCGCTTCTCTCATCCAAGTGCGACGTCGACCGCGACCGGCGGAAGCGGAAATGGTCGGCGGAAGCCCCGCGCACAGGCGGACGAACACCTGTGGCGGAACCCGGTCGAACACCTGTGGCGGAACCCGGTCGAACACCTGTGGCGGAACCCGGTCGAGCACCTGAGGCGGAACCCGCGGCGCTTATCTTCCGCGCACTCGTAGCGATTTTCACGCGCGGGCTGAAGAGGCTGAAACAACCGCCGGGAACGTCCGCGCCGGCGTTGCTGTCGTCAGACCGGTAACCGCCGGCGGCGCTGCATTTCCCGACGGCGCTGCTTCCGCGGCGGCGGCGCTGCTTTCCGTGACTGCGCTTTGCGCCATCGCCGCCCGAGATCGTGCTTGCGCCGTCTTTCTTGTCGCGCGAGCCTTTCATAACGCTTGCGCGTTCTGCAGCTGAGCATCCGCTGCGCGCAGGCTTCGCGGAAGCCGCCACCGCCGCCGCATCGTCGCGCCACTGCGCGTCCATCTCGAGCGACGGCGCGGCTTTTCGCCGAACAACTTCCGCGTGCGGGCTGCGCACGGCGGAAAAACCGGCTCCGCGGGGGGTTTCCACCGGAATCACAAGATCTGCGAGGTCGTACCTAGTAGCAGTAGCCTCGTGATCGTACCGATTAGTAGCAGCAGTAAGAACGTGACTGTGGCTGCTACTACCAGTAGTAGGCTCGTTATCGTGGCTACTAGCAGCAGGTACTACTAGCACGAGTCTGCGTGGTTTTTGCCGAACGACGTTCCCAGCCATGACGATGCCGCTCTTCTTGGTCAATGCTACCCTTAGTCGTTCCCCGCGCCGCCGGTAGTAGCGGCAATGTTAGAAGAAGAAAGGAGTCTTTCGAGACTTGAGCTACTCAAAGACGCGCCTATCATGGGCCGTGCAACGGTTGCATGAGCTGACTTCAAAAACAGAAGCTTGAGGCATCTCGCATGACGAGAGAGGGGAAGACTCGTGACGGCTCGGGCCAGTTCGCGCGAAATGGAGACGGAGCTTCTCTGGTCGCTCAGTATAACTTGAACTACCGGTACTGTAGTAGCAGTTAGTCGGGATATTGCTACCTGCGTAGTTCCGCCAGGAAATTCCACGACGGACGGAATTATTGCTGAAGCAACTGGAGGGAAATAGTCGCTGACGGTGACAGGAAATTCTGCGATTGTCCACGGGAGCCCCCGTCGGTTGCCACGATTGCCGCCCGCCATGGCAGCTGCACACCGTCGGCTGTCCGTTGACATTTGCCGTTGACATTGTGGATCGGCGACGGGATTGGCCACCGACTAAGCTAACAAATGATGGCGTGACACAGATCGGATGGGATGCGCGGCAGATGAAACACAAGGAATACAGAGGCGACTCGAAATACCGCACGTTGGTCGTTGTAGCTGTTTCCGTTCGGGACAGAGGCTGCGAGACGAGCAGCTTTTTGCTTCGCATGTAAGCTGATGTAAAAAGAGGTGAGCCGGTGGCGGAACGTGGGAGCCAGAGCGACAAGGAATGGACTGGTTCGAGTCGAGATTCGAGAGGTAAGGGTTTAGTTTAGAGACGGGGAAGATATTTCTGGAGAGGAGAGATGAGAAGAGGTGGGTGGGAGGGACGAGGTTAGGATTTGAAAGGAAAGATAACAATCGGTTTGGATGGGTGAAAGGTGGCGCTGGATGTGATGCAGCTGTGGGGCGGCGAGAAGGGGGTGCGGCTGGGCGGGTGAGGTGCGGAAAGGGCGGTGGGTTGGGGGTGCTAACTTTTTGACGCTCCTATAAGCTACCCATTAAAAACACTTCTTCAAACATTGCTATTTTTCTTAATACCAGAAACAAACTGCCATTTTCCCCCTCAGGCTTACACACAAACCCCAAAACCTTCCTCCCTAAGGCGACTCGGAAACAGAGGGAGGAAAACCGGGCCCGTCCCGAGCAACACTCTCACGGTTCAACCTACCCTCAGGGTCGTGCGAAGGCAAACTTTGAAATTAGGGCGATTTTAGACTCAAGGCTGAGGATTTGTGAATACCAACCAGCCCAGTTATTAGATGAACTGGTATACACCACTCCCAAATATGATTACAAGATTAGCATTAATGAATTAAGATATTGTCAAACCAAGGTTAGGAAGTTCTCCACCAGTGTGAAATCGCCATAGCAAGGGTCAGACCACTCCTACCAACCCGCTTATTCCAGTCTGGATAGGCAGCCATGCAATGAACGTCATCCGTCACAACAAAAGCGGATTTGCTCCTATGAGTTGCACTAGCTCTTGCAACGACATCGTTTATTGTCGTGCGTAATGTAAGCCGATATTGCTCCAAGGATCGTAACACAGGTGCAGAACACACCCTGTTATCCCCCGGAGTCATACACTTGTCAAGTGTGTTGTTGTCTGGGAGTCGAGGCGGGGAAAATGAAATGCCGGTTCCAACTTTATCGTATGTGCTTTGCATAATGAACATTGGTGTAGAAACGTATTGGAGGTTGTATTGTGGGAAAAAGCAGCGCCAAAGCCCCTTGCTGCGCCAGAAAGCTGTTGATGGGGGGACGCCAGAAAACTTCCAATACGTCGCCGGTGAAATAGTGAAAACGTAAGGAACCTAATCTCTTAGCGTGCATGCATAGCTATATGGAAACTATCCGCCATGTATAGCGACGATCGTCACAGGGAAGCTTCCCCGTCACAGGGTCAGCTTCCCCGCTAGGCACGAGCAGCGCGATTCCCGCTAGGCAGCAGCAGCGCGATTCCTGGTAGGCAGCAGCATTTACCTCGCTAGTAGCAGCGCGATCGCGCCACGTAGCCCGCGACCCAGCCCGCAATCTCGCCGCCCAGCCCGCGAACGAGCTCCTAGGCCCGTGATCCAGCCGCGTAGCCCGGTACCTCGCAGCCGAGCCCGTGATCTAGCCGCCTAGTCCGCGATCTCGCCGCGGAGCCCGCGATTTAGCCGCCAGGTTCGCGATTTAGCCGCTTGGCAGCGATCTAGCCGACCAGCCCGTGATCTAGCCGCAGAGCCAGCGATTAGGCCGCCCGCAGCGCCGTTAGGCAGCAGAACTGGCGCCATAGCAGGCTCGTTTCACGTACTGGCAGCAGAATCGCGTCACAGCAGCGAAAAACGCGCCACAGCAGCGAAGTCCACGCCACATCAGCGAAATCTGCGTCACGGCAGCGAAGTCCATGCCACAGCAGTGAGATCCGAGCCATAGCAGCGAGATCCGAGCCATAGCAGCGAGATCCGCGCCATAGCAGTGAAATCCGAGCTATAGCCGCGAGATCCGCGCCATAACAACGTGGTTTGCGCCATAGCAGCAAAAGCCGTGTCTTAGCACCGAAATCCGCCCCTCAGCAACGGAATCCGCGCCATAGCAGCCGCGCCTGGGCCATCGCAGTGAAACCCGCGCCATAAGAGTGTGATCTGTGCCGTAGCAGCGAAGACAGCACCTTTGCAGCGAAACCCGCGCCATAGCAGCACCGTAGAGTAAGAGCAGTAGCAGAGAGTAAGCGAACAAGCCTTAGCCAAATCCTTGAGCCATGGCGGACGACCCGGACCCCGGGGATCCCGGGGGCCGGGTGGGGGGCGGCCTTGACAGCGACGTGACGGGAGCCTTCGGGGGTGAAGGGGGGGTAAGCACAGTAGCAGCTGGTGGGTCGCTCCACCTATTGACCGGTCACAAAAGACGGGGGGGGGCTGAGAGTGCGCTCCAGAGCCCACGCATTCGTCGCCTCCACCACGAAGACCTTCTGTGCCTCTTTGGCAAACCAGCCAAGAGACAGTGTTGTGAAGCAGGCCGTTCGATTTCAGTACTGACATGCGGCCAACCTCTCGAAGACCCTCCCAACACCGGGTCTGACGGCGATTACCCTGTACCTTCGGCCATCATCGGAGAAAGGGGGGGAGCAACAACCGAAAAGGGTCCAGTCGACGAGGCGGCGGTTGTACCACGGGTGGCATCGGAGGTAGCGAGGGCAGCCTGGGAGGAACACCGTAGGCGTTTGCAACAACAGCATGACACTCGCAGACGCTGCCTACCTGTGAGGGCAATGTTGCACGGCGCCGGCTCGGCCGACGACGCAATCCCCCCGGTCGTGCCACGTCTCGCATGGCGGCAGGAGCGGAGGCGCCGGAGTGCGGCGGGGAAAGACAGGCAGCAGGAGCCACTAGTGGGGGGTCAGCGTGACCCGCAGGTGGGCGGGCAGCAGGGGGCCCGGGAGAGGAGCCGGCAGCCGCCGGTGGGGACGGGGCAGCAGGAGCTGCAGAGCGGAGGGCAGCAGGAGCTGCAGAGCGGGGGGCAGCAGCAGCTGCAGAGCGGAGGGCAGCAGGAGCTGCAGAGCGGAGGGCAGCAGCAGCTGCAGAGCGGAGGGCAGCAGCAGCTGCAGAGCGGAGGGCAGCAGCAGCTGCAGAGCGGAGGGCAGCAGGAGCTGCAGAGCGGAGGGCAGCAGGAGCTGCAGAGCGGAGGGCAGCAGCAGTTGCAGAGCGGAGGGCAGCAGCAGCTGCAGAGCGGAGGGCAGCAGGAGCTGCAGAGCAAAGGGCAGCAGGAGCTGCAAAGCGGAGGGCAGCAGCAGCTGCAGAGCGGAGGGCAGCAGGAGCTGCTGAGCGGAGGGCAGCAGGAGCTGCAGAGCGGAGGGCAGCAGCAGCTGCAGAGCGGAGGGCAGCAGCAGCTGCAGAGCGGAGGGCAGCAGGAGCTGCAGAGCGGAGGGCGGCAGGAGCTGCAGAGCGGAGGGCAGCAGCAGCTGCAGAGCGGAGGGCAGCAGCAGCTGCAGAGCGGAGGGCAGCAGGAGCTGCTGAGCGGAGGGCAGCAGGAGCTGCAGAGCGGAGGGCAGCAGGAGCCGGTTTGGGTGTTGGATGTGGAGATGGCGGACGAGGCTTGCACCGATGAGCTGGAATCAAGCCCCATGGAGGGGGAGAATGCCAACCCTGATTCCCCGGACCAAGCGGAAAGGCCCCGAGCGCGGGGCCGGGGCCGGAGGCGACGGGCAACCAAACTGCAGCAGCTGCAGAGCGGAGGGCAGCAGCAGCTGCCGAGCGGAGGGCAGCAGCAGCTGCAGAGCGGAGGGCAGCAGCAGCTGCCGAGCGGAGGGCAGCAGCAGCTGCAGAGCGGAGGGCAGCAGCAGCTGCCGAGCGGAGGGCAGCAGCAGCTGCAGAGCGGAGGGCAGCAGCAGCTGCCGAGCGGAGGGCAGCAGCAGCTGCAGAGCGGAGGGCAGCAGCAGCTGCCGAGCGGAGGGCAGCAGCAGCTGCAGAGCGGAGGGCAGCAGCAGCTGCCGAGCGGAGGGCAGCAGCAGCTGCAGAGCGGAGGGCAGCAGCAGCTGCCGAGCGGAGGGCAGCAGCAGCTGCAGAGCGGAGGGCAGCAGCAGCTGCCGAGCGGAGGGCAGCAGCAGCTGCAGAGCGGAGGGCAGCAGCAGCTGCCGAGCGGAGGGCAGCAGCAGCTGCCGAGCGGAGGGCAGCAGCAGCTGCAGAGCGGAGGGCAGCAGGAGCTGCAGAGCGGAGGGCAGCAGGAGCTGCAGAGCGGAGGGCAGCAGGAGCTGCAGAGCGGAGGGCAGCAGGAGCTGCAGAGCGGAGGGCAACAGCAGCTGCCGAGCGGAGGGCAGCAGCAGCTGCAGAGCGGAGGGCAGCAGGAGCTGCCGAGCGGAGGGCAGCGGCAGCTGCCGAGTGGAGGGCAGCGGCAGCTGCAGAGCGGAGGGCAGCAGGAGCTGCAGAGCGAAGGGCAGCAGGAGCTGCAGAGCGGAGGGCAGCAGCAGCTGCAGAGTGGAGGGCAGCAGCAGCTGCAGAGCGGAGGGCAGCAGCAGCTGCCGAGCGGAGGGCAGCGGGAGCTGCAGAGCGGAGGGCAGCAGCAGCTGCAGAGCGGAGGGCAGCAAGAGCCGGTTTGGGTGTTGGATGTGGAGATGGCGGACGAGGCTTGCACCGATGAGCTGGAATCAAGCCCCATGGAGGGGGAGAATGCCAACCCTGATTCTCCGGACCAAGCGGAAAGGCCCCGAGCGCGGGGCCGGGGCCGGAGGCGACGGGCAACCAAACTGCAGCAGCTGCAGAGCGGAGGGCAGCAGCAGCTGCCGAGCGGAGAGCAGCAGCAGCTGCAGAGCGGAGGGCAGCAGCAGTTGCCGAGCGGAGGGCAGCTGCAGCTGCAGAGCGGAGGGCAGCAGCAGCTGCCGAGCGGAGGGCAGCAGCAGCTGCAGAGCGGAGGGCACCAGCTGCCGAGCGGAGGGCAGCAGCAGCTGCAGAGCGGAGGGCAGCAGCAGCTGCAGAGCGGAGGGCAGCAGCAGCTGCAGAGCGGAGGGCAGCAGCAGCTGCAGAGCGGAGGGCAGCAGCAGCTGCAGAGCGGAGGGCAGCAGCAGCTGCCGAGCGGAGGGCAGCGGGAGCTGCAGAGCGGAGGGCAGCAGCAGCTGCAGAGCGGAGGGCAGCAGCAGCTGCAGAGCGGAGGGCAGCAGAAGCTGCAGAGCGGAGGGCAGCAGCAGCTGCAGAGCGGAGGGCAGCAGCAGCTGCAGAGCGGAGGGCAGCAGGAGCTGCAGAGCGGAGGGCAACGGCAATTGCAGAGCGAAGGGCAGCAGCAGTTGCAGAGCGGAGGGCAGCAGCAGCTGCAGTGCGGAGGGATGGAGCTTGCAAGGCCGTTAGAGGGGGGCATGGAGACGGAGTCTAGCAGGAGGGTCTTGCCGGCGTGTTCGAGTGGAGAGGAGCACCCAGACCCTACATTGACACCCCCGCCCCGCATTCCGTGCGAAACCTGTTATCGCACGTTCACGGAGAGAGGAAAGGCCACACGCCATATGTCGGCCTACAGGGCAGCGGACGCCCAGCGTCGTGCTCAGGCGCTTGGGTTGACCCGCGACGTCACAGATGACTCGGACGGCGAACCCCCGCCACCACGTGATATCAGTGAAGAGGTATGGGCCGCAGTTCCTACATGGGACTGGGAGTCGTTTTTTGGGATCGAATTGGTGCCAGGGAGAATCATGCGTCGTATCCCACAGCGCGCTAGATTGGGGGTGCTTGATGCACTGTCTTGTGTCCTGAAGCGGCTACAGTTAAAGGCAGCAGACGAGGCGGCGTCCTTGGTCTTTTTGGCCTTCCCTCGTCTTATCTTGGGGATGCCAACTGGGCAAGGCCAGGGGCATAGGGCGGCAATCAGGGAGCGGTTGGAGAAGTTTTGGGTCGGGGAGTGGCGGGAGCTGTTTGAGTTGGCGGTGGCGGTAATGCAACCTGCGGCGCGTCCTTTGTCCTTCACCCCCCCCCGAGCATGATCCTGATGCGGTGCGCCTGGCTCGCTGCCGCACAAGGTGCAAAGTGGGAGAATGGAGTCGGGGTTTGGCGTGTCTTACTGCCGGTAGCATCGCTCAGCCCTCTCAGCACATGGTGGACGCGCTGCGAGCGAAACACCCATCGAGCGAGACCGCCATTCCGGAGTGGTTGCAGGAGGAGATAGTTGAGCCTTCCCTTATCCCGCAGCTCTCAGTGGAGGTACTTGGTCAGGCGATCCACTCTGCGGCTAGGGCGTCGGCACCAGGACCGTCGGGGTGGGTGACGGAGCACCTGCGCGACACTTTTCTCTCTGAGCCCGCATACCTGCCTCACCTGCTAGGAGTCTTCACCCAGTGGACCAAGGGAGAGGTAGCGGAGCGCGTGCGACCCTGGCTCACTGCGTCCAACCTTGTGGGCCTGTCGAAGCCGAATGGTGACGTTCGCCCGGTGGCTATAGGCGAGGTGCTCCCCCGCATACTATCTCGGGCCCTATGCATCGTGCTTCGGCCGAAGATGATGTCGCACTTTGCGCCGTGTAACCAGCTAGGAGTCGGATCCAGGTCGGGAGTGGAAGTCCTCGCACATGCCTTTCGTTCTGCCATCTCTACTCACCCGTCATGGTGCGCGCTTCAAATTGATGTGGCGAATGCTTTCAACTCCTTCCGTCGGCGGGAAATGTTTGAAGGACTTCGACAGTCGCCTTTTGCGGGTTTGATCCCATTCCTGCGTGTCTTCTACGGCACTCCTAGCGACCTCTACCTCCGTGCGGGCCCCTTCGTCGAAGCTTTGGCTTCAGAGCGAGGATCGAGGCAAGGGGACCCATTGGGGCCGTTTCTGTTCGCGTTCACACAGCAGCTGGTTATGGAGCCCACCAAACAAGAATTCGCCGACCTACTCTTTCTCAGCTACGCCGATGATACGTACATCTTGGGGCCTAGGGAGCGGGTGCTAGCAGCTTATGAGGTCTTGCGGGAACGACTGGGCGGGCTTGGTCTGGAGGTGCAGCCGCATAAGTGCAAGCTTTGGGAGCGAGGGGTGGACCAGGAGGGAGAGGAGAGGAACGAGACCGTCCCGCCCGGCATGCAGCAAACATGGACGGGGCTCACCGTAGTGGGGGTTCCTATTGGGGAGGAGGAGTGGGAGGTGGCCAGCTTGCGAGGCCGGCTGATGCAGCTGCATGCACCTGTCCCTTGGCTTCCTTTGCTCGACCACCCACAGATTGCGTCCCATCTGCTGGCGATCGCAGTGTCAGCGCGCCCGATTTACCTCACAAGGACGATGCCTCCACGGCCTGAGGTTGTGGAGGCTTTCCGCGACTGGGACACGAAGCTTGAGGATTGTTTTGAGCAGCTGTTTCCAGATAGCACCTGGGATCATGATTCGGCAAGGTCGCAGATGGCCCGTCTACAGCTGCACCTTCCAGCCAGACTTGGAGGGTTTGGCATTCGATCTGCAGCTGACCTTAGCCCTCTGTCGTACGCATGTGGTTGGTGCCAGGCAGTGAGCGATGTGGCTCGGATGGGGGTGGCAGGGGAGGAACGGATGTTTGAGGAGTTTTTCCGCACGCCCGAGGCTACGACCTTGCTGGATCCTTGGTTTGCGAGAGCAGTGGAGCTGCTGCCACAGTCGGTCAGGCAGGAGATGCCACCCCTAGCCTTATGCACCGCTGACCCCCCTGTGCTGCTTTTCCCCACACAACACCGTCGCCTAGCGGTTGAGAGTCTGCAGACTCTTCGGGGTATGGCCCACGACGACGCCACCATGGCCCGTTTGACATCCCTTCAGGGCCCGGGGGCAGGGGCGTGGGTCTCCGCCGTCCCTTCGCACGAAGAGGCTACCTTCACCGCAGCCGAGTGGAGCATCTGTGCGTCCATGTGCCTAGGCCTCCCCATACAGCAGCTGATAGTCGCCGGCAAGTGCGCGTGTGGGTTTGAGTTTGCTGATCCCTCTGACCCGCATCATGCCCTTCGCTGCAAGTACCAGTACGCACCTTCTCGTGTTCACGACGCGGTTAAGTTTGTGGTGGCGAAGATAGCTAAAGGGGCGGGTGGGGTCGTGACCATGGAAGACGACACGTTGCTGCCAGGGAAGAGGGTGGATGTGGCGGTGCGGAGACTGAGGGAGGGGGAGGAGCATGCGCTGGAGGTTAGTGTGGTGGACCCTATCTCGTTGTCCGCGCAGCACCATGGACAGATTGGTCGCAAGGTGGGTTTTGCCGCTAGAGAGAGGGAAAAGCGGAAGGCGGCGGACTACAAATTGCTTCTGCAGCGACATAGGGGAGTGCAGTTTACACCTCTCATTGCTGAGACATGGGGTTGCCTGGGGGGGAGTTTTGGGCGGTGGCTTAAGAAACAGGGCGACGCGCAGATTGAGGTAGCGAAGACGAAAGGGGCGGCGAGAGCTACGGGGAAAGGTTTCTCGGCTTACTTGCTTGGATCACTTAAAGCGGCCATAGGTGTGGCTTTGCAGCGGGCTCAGGCGCGTGTGATCTTGTTGCGCGCGGCGTCGATGATGAGAGGCCCAGAGGCTGTTTCGGTGGAGCGGGAGGATTTTGAGGAGGAGATGGGATGGGATGCTCCGTGGGCGGATGCGCCCTATTTGGTGGACATGCGGGTTTAGAGGGTGGGTTTAGGTGAGGGGGGTGGGGGGTTTGGTTAGATGGGGCGTATTGTTGGGGTGTCTCGTTGGGGTGTCTCGTTGGGGTGTCTCGTTGGGGGTATCTCGTTGGGGTGTCTTTTGGGGTTCCTTATGTGCTGTTCTACTGGGGTGTTCTTGAGGCTGCGTTTTCCGTTTTTCTTTCATTTAAAACTGAAAAAGATGGTTTTACACTGAAGAGGTAACCACTTGTGATTTGAACGCAGTGGCCGAGAACTGCAGTGCCGTGTTCAACCTACCCTCAGGGTCGTGCGAAGGCAAACTTTGAAATTAGGGCGATTTTAGACTCAAGGCTGAGGATTTGTGAATACCAACCAGCCCAGTTATTAGATGAACTGGTATACACCACTCCCAAATATGATTACAAGATTAGCATTAATGAATTAAGATATTGTCAAACCAAGGTTAGGAAGTTCTCCACCAGTGTGAAATCGCCATAGCAAGGGTCAGACCACTCCTACCAACCCGCTTATTCCAGTCTGGATAGGCAGCCATGCAATGAACGTCATCCGTCACAACAAAAGCGGATTTGCTCCTATGAGTTGCACTAGCTCTTGCAACGACATCGTTTATTGTCGTGCGTAATGTAAGCCGATATTGCTCCAAGGATCGTAACACAGGTGCAGAACACACCCTGTTATCCCCCGGAGTCATACACTTGTCAAGTGTGTTGTTGTCTGGGAGTCGAGGCGGGGAAAATGAAATGCCGGTTCCAACTTTATCGTATGTGCTTTGCATAATGAACATTGGTGTATAAACGTATTGGAGGTTGTATTGTGGGAAAAAGCAGCGCCAAAGCTCCTTGCTGCGCCAGAAAGCTGTTGATGGGGGGACGGCAATGGTTACGACTAAAGTTGGAGCACGAGGTAAACAATAAAGAAGAGTGGAAGGATTGAAAGGACGAGAGATAGAGAGAGAGAGAGGGAATGAAGTGAGGAAAAGGGAAAGGAGTGAGATAAAGGATGAATGGGACTTGAAGAGAAAGCAGAGTGAACGGCAAGTGTATTGCCTTGAACATACCTGGCGACTGTCGTCGTCAGCAGCAGCAGCAGCAGCAGCAGCAGCAGCAGCAGCAGCAGCAGCAGCAGCAGTAAAGGAATGGAACTGAAACAATGCCAGAATCACTCACCATTTGAAATAATGCCTCCAGCTTACCCGTACGACAGTCGTCGTCAGCAGCACGATGCCTCGAAAGCTGTACTGCCCGCTGATGTCAGGGGTGTCTACGGGAGGAGCGTGCAAGGAGCCGGGAGTGGAAATGGAGGGAGGGGAGAGAGGGAGCAAGAGAGGACAAGGCAGGGAGGGTCAGCATCCACATTCGCTCACAATGCCTCGAAAGCTGTACTGATTGTTAATGTCTGGGGTTTCTGGGGGAGGGGGGAATGATAAAACAAGAGAATGGAAGGGAGGAAACAGTGAGCAGAAAACGAGAAGGAATGCCCATGCCGGTGATGTACAGTCTGAACCACCAACCTGTTAATAAAAATGAAAACACATATAACCCTGTACAACTTCAAAACTATATATTTCTCTAGATTTCTGGGTGTACATACCCATGAAGAATCCAGCGTCCATGAGGCATTTGACTTTGGCGGTGCGAGGGCATCACATGCCATCGACACTGCCACGGCAAGCCAATGGGACCCCAGCTTTTGGACCCCAGCTTTTGGACCCCAGCTTTTGAACCCCGGCTTTTGAACCCCGGCTTTTGAACCCCAGCTTTTGAACCCCGGCTTTTGAACCCCAGCTTTTGAACCCCGGCTTTTGAACCCCAGCTTTTGAACCCCAGCTTTTGAACCCCGGCTTTTGAAACCCAGCTTTTGAACCCCAGCTTTTGAACCCCGGCTTTTGAACCCCAGCTTTTGAACCCCGGCTTTTGAACCCCAGCTTTTGAACCCCGGCTTTTGAACCCCAGCTTTTGAACCCCAGCTTTTGAACCCCGGCTTTTGAACCCCGGCTTTTGAACCCCGGCTTTTGAACCCCAGCTTTTGAACCCCGGCTTTTGAACCCCAGCTTTTGAACCCCGGCTTTTGAACCCCAGCTTTTGAACCCCGGCTTTTGAACCCCAGCTTTTGAACCCCGGCTTTTCAACCCCGGCTTTTGAACCCCAGCTTTTGAACCCCGGCTTTTGAACCCCAGCTTTTGAACCCCGGCTTTTGAACCCCAGCTTTTGAACCCCGGCTTTTCAACCCCGGCTTTTGAACCCCAGCTTTTGAACCCCGGCTTTTGAACCCCAGCTTTTGAACCCCGGCTTTTGAACCCCAGCTTTTGAACCCCAGCTTTTGAATTAGGCTTTTGAACCCCAGCTTTTGAACCCCGGCTTTTAAACCCCAGCTTTTGAACCCCGGCTTTTCAACCCCGGCTTTTGAACCCCAGCTTTTGAACCCCGGCTTTTGAACCCCGGCTTTTGAACCCCAGCTTTTGAACCCCGGCTTTTGAACCCCAGCTTTTGAACCCCGGCTTTTGAACCCCAGCTTTTGAACCCCGGCTTTTGAACCCCAGCTTTTGAACCCCGGCTTTTCAACCCCGGCTTTTGAACCCCAGCTTTTGAACCCCGGCTTTTGAACCCCAGCTTTTGAACCCCTGCTTTTGAACCCCAGCTTTTGAACCCCGGCTTTTGAACCCCAGCTTTTGAACCCCAGCTTTTGAACCCCGGCTTTTGAACCCCGGCTTTTGAACCCCAGCTTTTGAACCCCGGCTTTTGAACCCCAGCTTTTGAACCCCGGCTTTTGAACCCCAGCTTTTGAACCCCAGCTTTTGAACCCCGGCTTTTGAACCCCAGCTTTTGAATTAGGCTTTTGAACCCCAGCTTTTGAACCCCGGCTTTTGAACCCCAGCTTTTGAACCCCGGCTTTTGAACCCCAGCTTTTGAACCCCGGCTTTTGAACCCCGGCTTTTGAACCCCAGCTTTTGAACCCCGGCTTTTGAACCCCAGCTTTTGAACCCCGGCTTTTGAACCCCAGCTTTTGAACCCCGGCTTTTGAACCCCAGCTTTTGAACCCCGGCTTTTGAACCCCAGCTTTTGAACCCCGGCTTTTCAACCCCGGCTTTTGAACCCCAGCTTTTGAACCCCGGCTTTTGAACCCCAGATTTTGAACCCCGGCTTTTGAACCCCAGCTTTTGAACCCCGGCTTTTCAACCCCGGCTTTTGAACCCCAGCTTTTGAACCCCGGCTTTTGAACCCCAGCTTTTGAACCCCGGCTTTTGAACCCCAGCTTTTGAACCCCGGCTTTTCAACCCCGGCTTTTGAACCCCAGCTTTTGAACCCCGGCTTTTGAACCCCAGCTTTTGAACCCCGGCTTTTGAACCCCAGCTTTTGAACCCCGGCTTTTCAACCCCGGCTTTTCAACCCCGGCTTTTGAACCCCGGCTTTTGAACCCCAGCTTTTGAACCCCGGCTTTTGAACCCCAGCTTTTGAACCCCGGCTTTTGAACCCCGGCTTTTGAACCCCGGCTTTTGAACCCCGGCTTTTGAACCCCGGCTTTTGAACCCCGGCTTTTGAACCCCGGCTTTTCAACCTCGGCTTTTGAACCCCGGCTTTTGAACCCCAGCTTTTGAACCCCGGCTTTTGAACCCCAGCTTTTGAACCCCGGCTTTTCAACCCCAGCTTTTGAACCCCGGCTTTTGAACCCCGGCTTTTGAACCCCGGCTTTTGAACCCCGGCTTTTGAACCCCAGCTTTTGAACCCCGGCTTTTGAACCCCAGCTTTTGAACCCCAGCTTTTGAACCCCGGCTTTTCAACCCCGGCTTTTGAACCCCAGCTTTTGAACCCCGGCTTTTGAACCCCGGCTTTTGAACCCCAGCTTTTGAACCCCAGCTTTTGAACCCCGGCTTTTGAACCCCAGCTTTTGAACCCCGGCTTTTGAACCCCAGCTTTTGAACCCCGGCTTTTCAACCCCGGCTTTTGAACCCCAGCTTTTGAACCCCGGCTTTTGAACCCCAGCTTTTGAACCCCGGATTTTGAACCCCAGCTTTTGAACCCCGGCTTTTCAACCCCGGCTTTTGAACCCCACCTTTTGAACCCCGGCTTTTGAACCCCGGCTTTTGAACCCCAGCTTTTGAACCCCGGCTTTTGAACCCCAGCTTTTGAACCCCGGCTTTTGAACCCCAGCTTTTGAACCCCGGCTTTTGAACCCCAGCTTTTGAACCCCGGCTTTTCAACCCCGGCTTTTGAACCCCGGCTTTTGAACCCCGGCTTTTGAACCCCGGCTTTTGAACCCCGGCTTTTGAACCCCGGCTTTTGAACCCCGGCTTTTCAACCTCGGCTTTTGAACCCCGGCTTTTGAACCCCAGCTTTTGAACCCCGGCTTTTGAACCCCGGCTTTTGAACCCCAGCTTTTGAACCCCGGCTTTTCAACCCCAGCTTTTGAACCCCGGCTTTTGAACCCCGGCTTTTGAACCCCGGCTTTTGAACCCCGGCTTTTGAACCCCGGCTTTTGAACCCCGGCTTTTGAACCCCAGCTTTTGAACCCCGGCTTTTGAACCCCAGCTTTTGAACCCCGGCTTTTCAACCCCGGCTTTTGAACCCCAGCTTTTGAACCCCGGCTTTTGAACCCCGGCTTTTGAACCCCAACTTTTGAACCCCAGCTTTTGAACCCCGGCTTTTGAACCCCAGCTTTTGAACCCCGGCTTTTGAACCCCAGCTTTTGAACCCCGGCTTTTGAACCCCGGCTTTTGAACCCCAGCTTTTGAACCCCGGCTTTTGAACCCCAGCTTTTGAACCCCGGCTTTTGAACCCCAGCTTTTGAACCCCGGCTTTTCAACCCCGGCTTTTGAACCCCACCTTTGAACCCCGGCTTTTGAACCCCGGCTTTTGAACCCCAGCTTTTGAACCCCGGCTTTTGAACCCCAGCTTTTGAACCCCGGCTTTTGAACCCCGGCTTTTGAACCCAGCTTTTGAACCCCGGCTTTTGAACCCCAGCTTTTGAACCCCGGCTTTTCAACCCCGGCTTTTGAACCCCGGCTTTTGAACCCCGGCTTTTGAACCCCGGCTTTTGAACCCCGGCTTTTGAACCCCGGCTTTTGAACCCCGGCTTTTCAACCTCGGCTTTTGAACCCCGGCTTTTGAACCCCAGCTTTTGAACCCCGGCTTTTGAACCCCGGCTTTTGAACCCCAGCTTTTGAACCCCGGCTTTTCAACCCCAGCTTTTGAACCCCGGCTTTTGAACCCCGGCTTTTGAACCCCGGCTTTTGAACCCCGGCTTTTGAACCCCAGCTTTTGAACCCCGGCTTTTGAACCCCAGCTTTTGAACCCCGGCTTTTGAACCCCAGCTTTTGAACCCCGGCTTTTCAACCCCGGCTTTTGAACCCCAGCTTTTGAACCCCGGCTTTTGAACCCCGGCTTTTGAACCCCAGCTTTTGAACCCCAGCTTTTGAACCCCGGCTTTTGAACCCCAGCTTTTGAACCCCGGCTTTTGAACCCCAGCTTTTGAACCCCGGCTTTTGAACCCCGGCTTTTGAACCCCAGCTTTTGAACCCCGGCTTTTGAACCCCAGCTTTTGAACCCCGGCTTTTGAACCCCAGCTTTTGAACCCCGGCTTTTCAACCCCGGCTTTTGAACCCCACCTTTTGAACCCCGGCTTTTGAACCCCGGCTTTTGAACCCCAGCTTTTGAACCCCGGCTTTTGAACCCCAGCTTTTGAACCCCGGCTTTTGAACCCCAGCTTTTGAACCCCGGCTTTTGAACCCCAGCTTTTGAACCCCGGCTTTTGAACCCCAGCTTTTGAACCCCGGCTTTTCAACCCCGGCTTTTGAACCCCACCTTTTGAACCCCGGCTTTTGAACCCCGGCTTTTGAACCCCAGCTTTTGAACCCCGGCTTTTGAACCCCAGCTTTTGAACCCCGGCTTTTGAACCCCAGCTTTTGAACCCCGGCTTTTGAACCCCAGCTTTTGAACCCCGGCTTTTCAACCCCGGCTTTTGAACCCCGGCTTTTGAACCCCGGCTTTTGAACCCCGGCTTTTGAACCCCGGCTTTTGAACCCCGGCTTTTGAACCCCGGCTTTTCAACCTCGGCTTTTGAACCCCGGCTTTTGAACCCCAGCTTTTGAACCCCGGCTTTTGAACCCCGGCTTTTGAACCCCAGCTTTTGAACCCCGGCTTTTCAACCCCAGCTTTTGAACCCCGGCTTTTGAACCCCGGCTTTTGAACCCCGGCTTTTGAACCCCGGCTTTTGAACCCCAGCTTTTGAACCCCGGCTTTTGAACCCCAGCTTTTGAACCCCGGCTTTTGAACCCCAGCTTTTGAACCCCGGCTTTTCAACCCCGGCTTTTGAACCCCAGCTTTTGAACCCCGGCTTTTGAACCCCGGCTTTTGAACCCCAGCTTTTGAACCCCGGCTTTTGAACCCCGGCTTTTGAACCCCGGCTTTTGAACCCCAGCTTTTGAACCCCAGCTTTTGAACCCCGGCTTTTGAACCCCAGCTTTTGAACCCCGGCTTTTGAACCCCAGCTTTTGAACCCCGGCTTTTGAACCCCGGCTTTTGAACCCCAGCTTTTGAACCCTGGCTTTTGAACCCCAGCTTTTGAACCCCGGCTTTTGAACCCCAGCTTTTGAACCCCGGCTTTTCAACCCCGGCTTTTGAACCCCACCTTTTGAACCCCGGCTTTTGAACCCCGGCTTTTGAACCCCAGCCTTTGAACCCCGGCTTTTGAACCCCAGCTTTTGAACCCCGGCTTTTGAACCCCAGCTTTTGAACCCCGGCTTTTGAACCCCAGCTTTTGAACCCCAGGCACACTCCTGAAGTGGAACTAGGCCATGGCATCACATGCCATCGACACCGCTATAGCGCCCATAAGCCCATGTGCAATGCCAACACACTCACCCATGAAGAATCCAGCGTCCATGAGGCATCTGACTTTGGCCAAGGGTGGGCAAGCATGTGTGTGCGCAAGGGTTTCTTGATTGCGAGTAATACTATTAAAAAGGCCAACACACTCACCCATGAAGAAGCCAGCGTCCATGAGGCATTTGACTTTGGCGGTGCGAGGGAAGTGGAACTGAGCCATGGCATCACATGCCATGGACACAGCTATAGCGCCAGCAGAGCAGCCTGTAAGGAGGACGGAATCCGCTCGCTGCATGCCCTTGTTGTTGAGATCTGAGAGGAGGGAACGTAGAGGGATAAAGGTTGAATATGTCGTGTTGTGTGTGTGTTATATGTGATACTATATGTGAGCTATAGAAGTAGCGGAGCAGCCTGTAAGGAGGACAGAATCGGAATTGGTTCGCTGCATGCCCTTGTTGTTGAGATCTGAGTGGAGGGAGCATGGATTTGGAGGGAAAGGAGGGGGGTTGAAGGGTGGAGTGGAAAGACCATGTATATTGTGTGTGTGGTGTATTTGATAATTTTTATGTTTAGCCTTAGCGGAGCAGCCTGTAAGGAGGACGGAATCCGCTCGCTGCATGCCCTTGTTGTTGAGATCTGAGAGGAGGGAACGTGGGGTTGGTTGGTGGTGAAAGGGGGAGATGGGTTGGAGGAAGGCAATGTGGGTTCAGTGGGATAGGGGAGCGTGGGGGAGCAATGAATATACCTCCTTACAACACATTCGCACCCCTGATTTTCTATCGAGAATCTTCAATTGTGACTCACACATATATTGCTTAAAGCCCAAAGCCCGAATTACAAAGTCAAAAGCAAACTGGTGACACTGTGCCTCCCGCACCTTCCTCTGCCGAACCACGTCGAGGGATCCCCACCTGCTTGATTACCATGCGTTGGCCTGTGCGAGTTTCGACAAGCCCAGAATGAGTCTTGCAGCACAACCCCTTCGAAAATACGAGCACGCAGGGGTAGGCTATTAGGAAAGCCCAGCCTACGTGCTTGTAATTCGGGTTTCCAAATCGACGTCAGTCTCTGCCCATGCTCTCCCGCTGTTCCCAATCTCTTTACCGATGAGAGGAAACCCCGCAATCTGTGTATTTTTCCCGAGCGCCGCGACAAAGATCGGCGGAAGTGGAAATCGCGCAGACGACATTTCCCCTGCAGAGACAAGGTTATTGGGGGAAATAGTCCCGTGGACGAGCCTTGCGCGGCGTACGGCGGATAGGAGAGGGCGTTAGGCACGCGCAGTAGTGCGTTGTTCCGCGCACGGCGGAACCACGCGCGTTGAGAGATCTATCGGGCGCTGTAGGCCGGGCCGGAGGGATGGTAGCGCGGGGGCGGAGGTCGAAAGGGGGAGGGCGAGGGTTGTTGCCGGCAGACGGCGATAAATCTAACCAGTCCTCACATCTGCTATCCCGAATATCCAGTCTAACCTAGATTGAATAACTCACTCGACAGTGCAGCCGCTCCCTTCATCAAACTTCCCTTGCCCCCCAACAGTCGCAGTGAAATTTGATTCCGACTTGCATGAAGCAAGGTGGCCAGCAGCGCCGTGCTTTCCAATTTCCGCGCTAGCGCGCACCTCCCCACCATCGCAGCGCGATCTCAACTTCTTGAATGCAATGTGCTGCTGCCGCGTAAGATCCGCCGGTTGCCCTCCCTTGTTCCCGTCGCTCTCCCTTCCCGTCGCTCTCCCTTCCCGTCGCTCTCCCTTCCCGTCGCGCTCCCTTCCCGTCGCCCCGTGGGCGCCCCTCTGCCTCCCTTCCCGTCGCCTTCCCTTCCCGTCGCCTACTTCCCCTGCTGTTCGGCCTGTCGAGTGACTTAGGCTGTGCCCAAAAGTGATGACAGTTTGGTGGCGTGACGGTAATTCAGCAAAGGCATTGACTTTCCAGTTTGGGGCGGTTGCTTGGGGCCCGGTGTTGCGATTCACTTTGCTTTCGCCCATTCTTTTCGTGAACCATTGCGTTCGCTTTTGTTCCGAACCATTCCCCCAACCTCCTCCCGAACTTAGGTTTTACCGAGTTGACCAGCTTTGAGTAATTCGGGGTTTGGCCTTTAAAGCTGTCGCCTACATACCTCCTGCGGGAGGCCTAGGTTTATCACTTGAAAACACGGTTGCACTGAGCTTCGCTCCAACCTTGAGTGGCGAGGTGGAGTTACTGCACCCTGACAGCACAACCTTTCCTCTGAAAATTGGGCGAAACAGGATTGGCTTCTAAATTTCGCGCCATTCTGCTCCCCAACTCGGATTGGTTGCACGTGTTGGCGAAATCGCCTCGCCAGTTCTGTTTGAAACATTCGCCTGCTCATTTCTGGAAAAGAGTCATTTCGTTCCCCAATCAGCATGCGTCCTAGGGTGTGCACCCAAAATACCCCCCGAAAATACATTTTCGTATGTAGACCGCAGCTTTGATAAGCTGCAAACAAATTAAACGCACCTCCCAGAATCGAGTTCAGAATCGGTCGTCCGGAGAGATAGTACGGTTGAGAGTGGTCGTAGAGCATTTTCCCCTTCACCCCGGCGAATACACCCCCGTCGCAATACAGCACGACCACCGTGTTCCAGGAATAGAAGAGCGGGTTCTCCGACGAATCACCGCTCAGCATGCCCTGAAACCCCGCCCCCATGCTGTCAAGCTGGTTGGGAGGGATGGGGGTGTGTTGGGCGTTAGCGGGAGAGAGAACGCATATAGCACACAGTGTGAGAGAGGGAGGATACGCCTCCGTCGCAATAAAGCACGACCACCGTGTTCCAGGAATAGAAGAGCGGGTTCTCTGACGAATCGCCACTCAGCATGCCCTGAAATCCCGCTCCCATGCTTTCCAGCTGGTGGTGGGGAATATGCAGGAAAGATGGGAGTGGGGGGGAGGACCTTTAGTACACAGTGAGAGAGAGAGAGAGAGAGAGAGAGAGAGAGAGAGAGAGAGAGAGAGAGAGAGAGAGAGAGAGAGAGAGAGAGAGAGACCTATGGGTACCCCTCGCCCGGGGTGTTGGCGTTCCTGCGGCAACAGGCGACCTATGGGTACCCCTCCTCCTACGAGGCCGCCAAGCTGCTGACGGAATACCGCCAGCGCTGGAGCGTGTGCCTCCAGAAGGCGCAGGCCAACGCCCTCCGCTGCAAGACCAACGAAGCCCTTGCAGCGGACGAGCTGGGAGTGCGGGGGCCCTTTGCCCCCCTTAGTGAGGGCCAGCTGTACCAGCTGATCGAGTCCCCGTTCGACCACTAGGGTCGGACAGAGAGGGGCGGGAGTGGGTAGGAGGATGTGTGTTAGGTTAGTTTGGCTTGTTGCTTGTTTGCTTGTGTTTTGCATATTCCTGTGTACCCCCCCACTGACTAATACAAGGACCATTCGAGAGAGAGAGAGAGAGAGAGAGAGAGAGAGAGAGAGAGAGAGAGAGAGAGAGAGAGAGAGAGAGAGAGGAGGCCTACATCGTGTACGGCTCCGCCCCCTCCATCTCAAGCATCGAGCGCATGCACGCCGATACCGCAAGAAGGAGATGCGCCGACGACTGTAGCGTGTCCAAGGGGGTCCCGGCTTGAGCAGCCCCTACAAGATCCCCCACGTGGCGGGGGAAAGTACGGGCTAAGGGAGCTACCCCGGCGGGCGCTTCCGACACGGGTGCCAACGGCGACTCGAGCGATTCTGCCAAAGTCACGCAGGATCCTCGGGACCCTGGACCGAAACTGCTCGGAAAGCTCCGCGTGGCCCCACACACCGCCAGCTGCAGGTTCGCCACCACCTCGCACGCCTCCGCCAGGTTCAGAATCCGGCACATGGTCAGCATGGGGTCCTTCCCCGCGCGAGTGGGGGGAGGTGCAGTCAGCGCTTCGCGCGGAAACGCCGTCGGCCAGCCAGGAGTCCGGCCAGCAGTTAAGCGCGGCGCAGAGAAGCCGGGAACCTGACGGGGGGTGCGGAACTGAGCCCTCCCCTCACGCGCGGGCTGATATTCGCGCAGTGTCGGCGCGCGCAGCGGAGCAACCTGGCTGGGGTCCGCGGCGAAGGGGGGACCGTTGGTCACCTCAATGTGGACGTGAGTCGGCGCCCCACTCGCCCGGGCCTGCCTCACCACCTCCACGAACGTGTCCGCGGCGCGATCGAGGGCAGGATCGCCCTGGTGGCCATTCCCCCCCCGCCCTCCGCCATTCCGCCGGCCACGCCGTCCCCCGGAACCAGCCGAATGTGGACGCGGGGAGGACTGCTCGCGGCGACCCGAATCCCAGCGACGCCCAGGCGACCCCCTTCCCCGCGTCGCCGGAGATCGCCGCGGAGCGTTGCGCGGGGGATCGCGCTCGGGGTGAGCGCGGGCCTGCCCGACCACGAGGGGATGGGCGACGAGGGGAGCGAGGACGCGCGGGGGAGCGCTGATCCCCCCCCCCGCGCTGATAGTGTTCGCGGTGCTCAGGGGAAGGGCGGCGAGGAGAGGGCTGCCGAGGAGGCTGACGTGGAGGCGAGCGCCCGCGCTCCTGCCGCGGCTGACCGGCCGGGCGGTTCGACGCAACACGTGCAGGCGCCCACGAATACTCCGGCGAGGTTGGGCGCGCGGCAGGCTGATGGGGAAGAGTTTGCACCCGCTCGAAGCGGCGGACAGGCTCGCTTGCGGAGGGGTGCGCGAGGAGGCGCGGACGAGGCCCGGCAGGCGCAGGCTCCGGCAGCGCGCTCTCCACGGATCCCTCCAGCTCCGGATCCCGTCTCGCGGATGGGTCCATCACCCCCGATCGCACCGCAGCCGACGCCAGCGCGCCGACAACGCGACAACGAAGTGGCCGCGGCGCCGCAAACAGAGCGCGAAGGAGCTGCAGTGGGAAGAGCAACGCGCGGAATACGCGTGGGACGCGGCAGCCGCCGCGGACGAAGGGGAAACGAGCGAGGACGAAGGGGAGGTGGAACACGGGTTTCAAACAGGCGCCGCACCGGTGCAAGCGGCTACGCGAGAAACGCGGAAAGGCAGATACGAAACGGCGCAGAGGGCGGCGAGGATCCGCCTGGCGAGGAGGCAGAAGAGGAAGTGGAGAATGAGGGAAGTGACGGGGGTGACCCCGTTTTTAACCCTGAAAGAGAGGGGATGTTGGGTGCAGAAGCCGAGGAGGACGAGGATGAGTTGGAACTTCTGCTTCGGGGAGAGGAGCTCGCCAGACCAAATGTCCGAGGCGAACCTGCCAGCCGAGCCACAGCCGAAGGAGCGGGCCAAAGTCCAATCCCAGGCCGAGCCGCATCTGCAATTCCAATACCCAGAAATCGGACCGCGAGGCAGAACCGAGCCACCCCCAACAATGCGGTTACCACCACTCCAGCCAATGCCACGGCCCCAACGCCCGCCACCCCCGACCCAATCATCAGTGCTGACGACCTAGCAGGCCGTCTGGACCTTTTCGCAGACGTCGCCAACTGGGACCTCTGCCCGCTGCGCGACAGCAGACAGCCACCCCTTGCCCGCCACCCACCCCGCCCACTTCGCGAATCCTTCGCGATATGCCTGCTGACGCCACTACTGCACCTGGCGAAAAACCCGGATTCCATCGCAGGCTGGAAGCTGCTGATGTTCCTCCCGCGCATCCTGCTGCGCACCTCGTCAGCACGCACACCTGACTGGAAAGCCATGGGTGCAAGGCTGACACGATTTCGCCAAGGTCAGTGGCGCAACCTGTACGACGAGGCAGCTGACGCGGTTACCAGCAACCCCCAACCACGACACGTACCTGACGACACTGACAAGCTCTCGCGGGCCGAAGGCTTGGCGAAACGGGGGAATCTGGCGAAATCACTACAGACTCTGACTGCCACGCCAGTCTGCACGCCGAGCGCTGAAGTACTCAACGCGCTCAAAGCCAGACACCCAGACGCCGCCACGCCCATACCTTCCTGGGTGCTCGACTTCGCCCCAGAGAACGTCCCTGCCATCGCTGCCCGGGACTTCAGGCGACTGCTGGCAAAATGCCCCAACGGAGTGGGTGCTGGGCCATCAGGCACCACCTTTGAGCACCTCAGAGATGCAGCCCTTGGGAACGGGGACGTTTTCCTGCAGTTGCATGCACTTACCAACACGGCACTCTCTGGAAAGCTGACGGCGGACGTGGCGGAACTCCTAACAGCGTCACGACTGCTCGCCTTCTCGAAACCAAACGGTGGAACGCGGCCGATAGCAGTAGGCGAATGCCTACTACGCCTCGTTGCCAAGGCGGCCCTTTTCCTAGCCGCACCAGCGGCGCGCGAGCACTTCACCCCGCTACAGTTCGGAGTAGCAATCGCGGGAGGAATAGAGGCGGCAATTCACACTGCACGCACCTACCTGGAGGAATTCCCAGGAGCGACGGCGCTGCAGATTGACCTGGCCAACGCCTTCAATGCAGTCGAGCGCGCGGCAGTGTTCGAGGGCTTGAAAGGCACCGACCTCGAGGTCTTAGTGCCCCTCGTTCGCTTCTCTTACGGCAACCCATCGACGCTCTACCTCGACCATGACTTCGGAGCAGAACCCCTTAGGAGCGCGCGGGGTGTTCGTCAGGGGGACCCGCTGGGACCCATGCTGTTTGCAGCCAGCATTCACCCCTGCCTCGTCCAATCGGCGGCGGCACATCCGGAGGTGGTGTTTCTGGCGTATGCAGATGACATCACCCTGCTGGGGGAGGCGGCCAACTGCACGGCAGCTTTTGCACACCTCACGGAAGCCCTACGACTCCATGGGCTGGCCCACAACCCCTCGAAGTGTGAGGCGTGGTCCGCAGCTGCGCTCGACCCCTCCACCCTACCTGCCGGCATCACGATATCACAAGACGGAGTCCGCGTCCTAGGCAGCCCCGTCGGCCCCCCCACAGGTTGCGCGTCCAGAGTTCGCGAGCGCCTCGCAGCAGCGGCCGAACCTCTCGCGCTCCTCACCCAGATGGACCCCCAACTCTGCCTGCTACTACTCACCCGCTGCGTGAGCCGCCGCGCCTCGTTCCTGGTCCGAGCCACGCCCCCCGAAGCCCTTCCGCTGGAGGAGTGGTCGGCCTGGGGGGAACAACTGCTCCACACCTACCTGGCCGCGGCACACACAAACATCCCTAGGGATCGGGCAGAGAGGGACAGAATCTGGCACCAAGCCGCACTGCCTGCGTCCCTAGGAGGCCTCGGCATTACTAACCCTGCGGTGGAAGGGAGATTCGCCTACCTGGCGTCAGTAGTGTCGGCCTCCCACCTGCTACGCTCCTTCGGCGACGCGGCAAACCCGGCCCTGGCAGGACTGCTGCCGCTGATGGACGCTGACGGCGATTCCACCTCCCTCCTCCCGCGACGCCTCGCAACCCTGGAAGCCGAGCTGCCGCCAGACGGAATAGAGGCCCTGCAAACTGGGAGACAAAAGCCTAACGGGCCAAAACTGCAGCAAGCCCTCTCCCTCGCGGTGCACACCGCCCGCTAAATCCGACTGCTGGACAGCTCGCGGAACATGGATCTGAACCCACTGTTTGGCCACACACAGAGATTACAGTCCCTCCTAGGCCCGGGGGCGGGGGATTGGCTGCTTGCCATCCCCCTGATCTCTTCCCTCCGCCTCGGACCCTCCCAGTTCTCCACCGCGGCTTCCTTCCGCCTGGGACTGCCCTTACCTGTGCCGAGACGCTGCAACTGCAGATACCGCACCACCTTCCCGGACGATCGTCTGCCGAACCACTTGATGCGGTGTGAGAAAGGGGGGGGGGGAGAATTGGCACACACAATGCCCTGCGCGACGAGTGCGCGAAGATAGCGGCTGAAGCGGGATTCACGGTGCACAAGGAGACAACGGCATATTCACCGGTCGAAAACCTCAAAGCGGATATCTCTATCCGCCATCCCGACACCGGTGCAGTGTGGATCTGTGACATCACCGTCACAGACCCCGTCTCCCACCAGGACGAGTACGCGCGTAAGGCCCCCGGATGGGCGGCTAGGATGCAAGCGGACAAGAAGGAGACAAAATACGCCGGGAGGAGCCCGTGGGTGGGTTTCTACGCCATGGCCGTAGAGACCTATGGCTACACCTCACCTGGTGTCCTGGATTTCCTTCGCAGCTGCGCGGAACTAGCGGCAAAGCGGCGGTTTAACGCCTCCCCAAAGTCGAGGGAGGTGGCGAAACTACTTACCGAGTACCGCCAGCGATGGAGCGTGACCCTGCAGAGAGCCCAAGCCAACGCCCTCAGGGATAAGACCCATGAGGCTCTTACCGCGGATGCGCTAGGCCTGCAGGGACCGTTCACCCCACTGAGCGAAGGCCAGCTGTACCAACTGATAGAGGACCCCTCCGGCCACTAGGGCCGGGAGGGAAAGGGGGCGGCGGTAGTGGTGTTAGGATAGGAGATTGCACCTGTGGCTTTGTTGTGTGTGGCTCGCTACCTTACCCTGTGTGTACCTTGATGATATTAATACGACGGACCGTGAGAGAGAGAGAGAGAGAGAGAGAGAGAGAGAGAGAGAGAGAGAGAGAGAGAGAGAGAGAGAGAGAGAGAGAGAGAGAGAGAGAGTACACATGACTTTCAAATACAAGGACCGTTCGAGGGAAGGCACTACTAATGCAATACAGCGCAACACCGTGTTCCAGGAATAGAAGAGCGGGTTCTCTGAAGAGCCGCCACTCAGCATGCCCTGAACTCCCACTCCCATGCTTTCAAGCTGGTGGGGGGAAAAGGTTGAAAAGGACGAGTGGGGGAGAATGGGGGGTTTGTTGGGGGATTATCGCCACTCGGCATGCCCTGAAACCCCGCTCCCATGCTTTCCAGCTGCTGGGGGGGAAAAGGTAGAGTGGAGCGAGGGCTTTAAATACAGACTGAGCGGAAAGCAACCCTTTCGTCACAATACAGCACGACCACGGTGTTCTATGAGTAGACGACTTTTGAGGCGCCTCAACACAGCACTTTTCAAAAGTCAATACAGCACGACCACGGTGTTTTATGAGTAGAAGAACAAATATTCTAACAAATCACCACTCAGCGTTCCCATAATTCCCTGAAGAACGGAATCTTTGACTGACAGACTGACTGACTGCTGACTGACCGACTGACCGACCGACCGACCAACCGGCTGACAGACTGACCACCCGGTAACGGCACTCACCGAATTCTCAAACCCTGGATCTCCCGGCGTGGGCCAGCCCTTGTTTGAGCCCAGGTCTGTGTCGGCCTGTAGGCGGCACTGACTAACTTTAGTGACTGACTACCTTGACTGACTGACTTGACTGACTTGACTGCATTGACTGACTTGACTGCCTTGACTGACTTGACTGACTTGACTGCCTTGACTGACTTGACTGCCTTGACTGACTTGACTGCCTTGACTGACTTGACTGCCTTGACTGACTTGACTGCCTTGACTGACTTGTCTGCCTTGACTGACTTGACTGCCTTGACTGACTTGACTGCCTTGACTGACTTGACTGCCTTGACTGACTTGACTGCCTTGACTGACTTGACTGCCTTGACTGACTTGACTGCCTTGACTGACTTGACTGCCTTGACTGACTTGACTGCCTTGACTGACTTGACTGCCTGGTAACGGCACTCACGTTGGTCTCGAAGCCCGGATCCCCCGGCCTGGGCCAGCCTGTAGTTGATCCCAGGTCTGTGTCAGCCAGTAGCTGGCACTGACTGACTGACTGACTGACTGACTGACTGACTGACTGACTGACTGACTGACTGACCGACTGACTGAACAACTGGTAACGGCACTCACGTTGGTCTCGAAGCCCGGATCCCCCGGCCTGGGCCAGCCCTTGGTGGATCCCAGGTCTGTGCTGACCTTACCTGGCGCCGGCACGTACCGACAGCACCGGCACGTACCAACCAGCACCAGTTAGCATCGGTACTCACGTTGGTCTCGAATCCCGGATCCCCCGGCCTGGGCCAGCCCTTGGTGGAGCCCAGGTCTGTGTCAGCCCGAAGGCGACACTGACTGGGGGAGAGGCACCAGCGCCCGCCCTAGTGGGGGAGTGGGAAGGAATGAGGAATGGGAAAGCGTGAAGGAGGGGCCAGGTGTGGTCCAGCCTGTTTGAGGTTGATTTTGAGAATTCTCAAAATCAACCTCAAACAAAAAGGGGCCAGGTGTGGTCCAGCCTGTAGTTGAGCCCAACTCTGTGTCGGCCCGAAGGCGACACTGACTGGGGGAGAGGCACCAGCGCCCGCCCTGTGTGGTGGGAGGGACATGCAGGAGAGAAGAGGTGGGAAGGAGGAGAGGGAAGGAGGGGAGGGAAAGAGGGGAGGGAAGGAGGAGAGGGAAGGAGGGGAGGGAAGGAGGAGAGGGAAGGAGGAGAGGGAAGGAGGGGAGGGAAGGAGGAGAGGGAAGGAGGAGAGGGAAGGAGGAGAGGGAAGGAGGAGAGGGAAGGAGGAGAGGGAAGGAGGAGAGGGACGGAGGGGAGGGAAGGAGGAGAGGGAAGGAGGGGAGGGAAGGAGGAGAGGGAAGGAGGAGAGGGAAGGAGGGGAGGGAAGGAGGAGAGGGAAGGAGGAGAGGGAAGGAGGAGAGGGAAGGAGGAGAGGGACGGAGGAGAGGGACGGAGGAGAGGGAAGGAGGAGAGGGAAGGAGGAGAGGGAAGGAGGAGAGGGAAGGAGGAGAGGGACGGAGGAGAGGGACGGAGGAGAGGGAAGGAGGAGAGGGAAGGAGGAGAGGGAAGGAGGAGAGGGAAGGAGGAGAGGGACGGAGGAGAGGGACGGAGGAGAGGGAAGGAGGAGAGGGAAGGAGGAGAGGGAAGGAGGAGAGGGACGGAGGAGAGGGAAGGAGGAGAGGGAAGGAGGAGAGGGACGGAGGAGAGAGAAGGAGGAGAGGGAAGGAGGAGAGGGACGGAGGAGAGGGAAGGAGGAGAGGGAAGGAGGAGAGGGAAGGAGGAGAGGGAAGGAGGAGAGGGACGGAGGAGAGGGAAGGAGGAGAGGGAAGGAGGAGAGGGAAGGAGGAGAGGGACGGAGGAGAGGGACGGAGGAGAGGGAAGGAGGAGAGGAAGGAGGAGAGGGAAGGAGGAGAGGGACGGAGGAGAGGGAAGGAGGAGAGGGAAGGAGGAGAGGGACGGAGGAGAGGGAAGGAGGAGAGGGAAGGAGGAGAGGGACGGAGGAGAGGGACGGAGGGGAGGGAAGGAGGAGAGGGAAGGAGGGGAGGGAAGGAGGAGAGGGACGGAGGAGAGGGACGGAGGAGAGGGACGGAGGAGAGGGAAGGAGGAGAGGGAAGGAGGAGAGGGAAGGAGGAGAGGGAAGGAGGAGAGGGAAGGAGGAGAGGGACGGAGGAGAGGGAAGGAGGAGAGGGAAGGAGGAGAGGGAAGGAGGAGAGGGAAGGAGGAGAGGGACGGAGGAGAGGGAAGGAGGAGAGGGAAGGAGGAGAGGGAAGGAGGAGAGGGACGGAGGAAAGGGAAGGAGGAGAGGGACGGAGGAGAGGGAAGGAGGAGAGGGAAGGAGGAGAGGGAAGGAGGAGAGGGAAGGAGGAGAGGGACGGAGGAGAGGGAAGGAGGAGAGGGACGGAGGAGAGGGAAGGAGGAGAGGGAAGGAGGAGAGGGATGGAGGAGAGGGACGGAGGAGAGGGAAGGAGGAGAGGGAAGGAGGAGAGGGACGGAGGAGAGGGAAGGAGGAGAGGGAAGGAGGAGAGGGACGGAGGAGAGGGAAGGAGGAGAGGGAAGGAGGAGAGGGAAGGAGGAGAGGGAAGGAGAGAGGGACGGAGGAGAGGGAAGGAGGAGAGGGAAGGAGGAGAGGAAGGAGGAGAGGGAAGGAGGAGAGGGAAGGAGGAGAGGGAAGGAGGAGAGGGACGGAGGAAAGGGAAGGAGGAGAGGGACGGAGGAGAGGGAAGGAGGAGAGGGAAGGAGGAGAGGGAAGGAGGAGAGGGAAGGAGGAGAGGGACGGAGGAGAGGGAAGGAGGAGAGGGACGGAGGAGAGGGAAGGAGGAGAGGGAAGGAGGAGAGGGAAGGAGGAGAGGGAAGGAGGAGAGGATGGAGGAGAGGGACGGAGGAGAGGGAAGGAGGAGAGGAAGGAGGAGAGGGACGGAGGAGAGGGAAGGAGGAGAGGGAAGGAGGAGAGGGACGGGGAGAGGGAGGAGGAGGGAGAGGGAGGAGGAGAAGGGAGAGAGAGGGAAGGAGGAGAGGGAAGGAGGAGAGGGAAGAGGAGAGGGGAGAGAGGAAGGAGGAGAGGGAAGGAGAGAGGGAAGGAGGAGAGGGAAGGAGGAGAGGGAAGGAGGAGAGGGAAGGAGGGAGAGGGAAGGAGGAGAGGGAAGGAGGAGAGGGACGGAGGAGAGGGACGGAGGAGAGGGAAGGGGAGAGGAGAGGAAGGGAAGAGGAGAGGGATGGAGGAGAGGGACGGAGGAGAGGGAAGGAGGAGAGGGAAGGAGGAGAGGGACGGAGGAGAGGGAAGGAGGAGAGGGAAGGAGGAGAGGGACGGAGGAGAGGGAAGGAGGAGAGGGAAGGAGGAGAGGGAAGGAGGAGAGGGAAGGAGGAGAGGGACGGAGGAGAGGGAAGGAGGAGAGGGAAGGAGGAGAGGGAAGGAGGAGAGGGGACGGAGGAGAGGGACGGAGGAGAGGGAAGGAGGAGAGGGAAGGAGGAGAGGGAAGGAGGAGAGGGACGGAGGAGAGGGAAGGAGGAGAGGGAAGGAGGAGAGGGACGGAGGAGAGGGAAGGAGGAGAGGGAAGGAGGAGAGGGACGGAGGAGAGGGAAGAGGAGAGGGAAGGAGGAGAGGGACGGAGGAGAGGGAAGGAGGAGAGGGAAGGAGGAGAGGGAAGGAGGAGAGGGAAGGAGGAGAGGGAAGGAGGAGAGGGAAGGAGGAGAGGGACGGAGGAGAGGGAAGGAGGAGAGGGAAGGAGGAGAGGGAAGGAGGAGAGGGATGGAGGAGAGGGACGGAGGAGAGGGAAGGAGGAGAGGGAAGGAGGAGAGGGACGGAGGAGAGGGACGGAGGAGAGGGAAGGAGGAGAGGGAAGGAGGAGAGGGAAGGAGGAGAGGGAAGGAGGAGAGGGACGGAGGGAGGAGGGAAGGAGGAGAGGGACGGAGGGAGAGGGAAGGAGGAGAGGGAAGGAGGAGAGGGAAGGAGGAGAGGGAAGGAGGAGAGGGAAGGAGGAGAGGGAAGGAGGAGAGGGAAGGAGGAGAGGGAGGAGGAGAGGGACGGAGGAGAGGGAAGGAGAGGACGGAGAGGGAAGGAGGAGAGGGAAGGAGGAGAGGGACGGAGGAGAGGGAAGGAGGAGAGGGAAGGAGGAGAGGGACGGAGGAGAGGGACGGAGGGGAGGGAAGGAGGAGAGGGAAGGAGGAGGGAGGGAAGGGAGGAGGACGGAAGGAGGAGAGGGACGGAGGAGACGGGAAGGAGGAGAGGGAAGGAGGAGACGGAAGGAGGAGAGGGACGGAGGAGAGGGAAGGAGGAGAGGGACGGAGGAGAGGGAAGGAGGAGAGGGAAGGAGGAGAGGGAAGGAGGAGAGGGAAGGAGGAGAGGGACGGAGGAGAGGGAAGGAGGAGAGGGACGGAGGAGAGGGAAGGAGGAGAGGGAAGGAAGAGAGGGAAGGAGGAGAGGGACGGAGGAGAGGGAAGGAGGAGAGGGACGGAGGAGAGGGAAGGAGGAGAGGGACGGAGGAGAGGGAAGGAGGAGAGGGAAGGAGGAGAGGGAAGGAGGAGAGGGAAGGAGGAGAGGGAAGGAGGAGAGGGAAGGAGGAGAGGGAAGGAGGAGAGGGACGGAGGAGAGGGAAGGAGGAGAGGGAAGGAGGAGAGGGAAGGAGGAGAGAAGGGAGGAGAGGGAAGGAGGAGAGGGAAGGAGGAGAGGGAAGGAGGAGAGGGACGGAGGAGAGGGAAGGAGGAGAGGGAAGGAGGAGAGGAAGGAGGAAGAGGGAAGGAGGAGAGGGACGGAGGAGAGGGAAGGAGGAGAGGGAAGGAGGAGAGGGAAGGAGGAGAGGGAAGGAGGAGAGGGACGGAGGAGAGGGAAGGAGGAGAGGGACGGAGGAGAGGGAAGGAGGAGAGGGAGGAGGAGAGGGAAGGAGGAGAGGGAAGGAGGAGAGGGAAGGAGGAGAGGGAAGGAGGAGAGGAAGGAGGAGAGGGAAGGGAGGAGAGGGAAGGAGGAGAGGGACGGAGGAGAGGGAAGGAGGAGAGGGACGGAGGAGAGGGGAGAGGGAGGAGGAGAGGGAAGGAGGAGAGGGAAGGAGGAGAGGGACAGAGGAGAGGGAGGAGAGAGGGACGGAGGAGAGGGAAGGAGGAGAGGAAGGAGGAGAGGGAAGGAGGAGAGGGAAGGAGGAGAGGGAAGGAGGAGAGGGAAGGGGAGAGGGAAGGAGGGAGGGAAGGAGGAGAGGGAATGAGGAGACGGAAGGAGGAGAGGGACGGAGGAGAGGGAAGGAGGAGAGGGACGGAGGAGAGGGAAGGAGGAGAGGGAAGGAGGAGAGGGAAGGAGGAGAGGGAAGGAGGAGAGGGACGGAGGAGAGGGAAGGAGGAGAGGGAAGGAGGAGAGGGAAGGAGGAGAGGGGAAGGAGGAGAGGAAGGAAGAGAGGGAAGGAGGAGAGGGAAGGAGGAGAGGGAAGGAGGAGAGGGAAGGGAGGAGAGGGAAGGAGGAGAGGGAAGGAGGAGAGGGAAGGAGGAGAGGGAAGGAAGGAGAGGGAAGGAGGAGAGGGAAGGAGGAGAGGGAAGGAGGAGAGGGAAGGAGGAGAGGGAAGGAGGAGAGGGAAGGAGGAGAGGGAGGAGAGGGAAGGAGGAGAGGGAAGGAGGAGAGGGAAGGAGGAGAGGGAGGAGGAGAGGAGGAGGAGAGGGAAGGAGGAGAGGGGAAGGAGGAGAGGGAAGGAGGAGAGGGAAGGAGGAGAGGGAAGGGGAGAGGGAAGGAGGAGAGGGACGGGGAGAGGGAAGGAGAGAGGGACGGAGGAGAGGGAAGGAGGAGAGGGAAGGAGGAGAGGGAAGAGGAGAGGGAAGGAGGAGAGGGACGGAGAGAGGGAAGGAGGAGAGGGACGGAGGAGAGGGAAGGAGGAGAGGGAAGGAGGAGAGGGAAGAGGAGAGGGA